CTAAAGCCCTGATCCTTGACTGTCTGGTGCTTAAGAGGGAATGGGGGAATGGATCTGCACAGTAGCCCCTAGAGAATCCCCAATAATAGTCCCCATCGTCCATCCCCCCATTCCCTACTAAGCACCAGGGAGTTGACGATGGCCCGCTTCTTCGGTCTCAGGTTTCGGGCATAGGCGGTGGGCAGGGGGCGCTCTTCCATTACTACTTTGGAGGGTCGAGGGACTTAGTAACTGGTGATTTTAGGGACTTATAAGTACCATAACCCCCAATTAGTGTCCCTTTTCGGGTACTTATAAGTCTACTTACTACCTACTTACTAAGTCCCCCGACCCTCCAAGTAGCTGCTAGCCGCTTCGAGTTTGGGCTTTGCAGAGGACGTCGTCTGGGACATTGCCGATGTGCATGGGGAGATGGCGCAGAACATCGACTATGACCTGACGGCCTCCCTAGTGCAGGCAATCCACGATTCCGGCAAAGAAGGAGGCTGAGTTGCAGAGTTCATTAATTTGGGGGTTTCCGAAAATTAGGGGCACCTTATCCTACTAATTATTAAGGGTACTATGTTCGGGTCCCTATTTTCGGAAACTCCCATTTCTTCGGGGTTCTGAAATCCCAAGAGGTCGGGAAGGCTTGCCTGCTCAGCAGCTCAGGAGGCATCCTCATCTTTATGCCAGGATGGTTTGAGATTACCCAAACTATGGAACGGCTTGAGAAGTGTCGCTGCAAGAACCAGCTGGCAATACATCCTCTGCACTCGCGCATTCCCACATGGGAGCAGCAGGCCATCTTCAGGCCGTCGCCAGCTGGGCGACGGAAAGTCGTGATCTCAACGGTTCTGGCCGAGACTTCAATTACTGTGGAAGACATTGTGTATGTCATCGACCCCGGCCGTGCGCGGACCACCTTTTTCAACGAGACCTCGATGATCTCAGCGCTTCGGACGGTGTGGTACTCCAAGGCGAACGGCTTCCAGCGACGGGGGCGGGCCGGACGCTGCCGGCCGGGTGTTTGGTATCGGCTCTTCAGCTCTTGTCAATGGGAGGCCATGGAGGAGTATGCTCTGCCGGAGATGCAGCGCTCTCCTTTGGAGGAGCTGTGCATGGAAGTCTCATCCCTCGGCCTGGGCCCACCTGGTGACTTCCTGCGAGAGGCCATCAGCCCTCCGAAAGAGGACGTGGTCCATCATGCCTTGAAGCTACTGCACGGTTTGGGAGCTGTGACGGACCCCACCGGGAAGACCTTGACCCCTTTGGGTGCACAACTCGCGAAGATACAGGTCCACCCCATGCTGGCAAAGATGCTGCTGCTAGCCGTTCCTTTCAAGTGCTATCACATGATGATCACGATTTGCGCATCTTTGGGGTACAAGTCACCCTTTCTTTGCCCCATGGGTCTGGAAAAAGAAGCAAATCAGGCGAAGGCTGCCCTAGCCGACGGGTCTAAGTCGGACCTCATCGCCCTGGTCAACGTTTCCTGTCGCGGACAGAAACGGGACGGAGCTCTGGTAATCCTGAAAACCAAATATAAACGGTTGTAGACGTCCTAGTGATTAGGAAAAGTGTCCCCCCGTTGGCCCTCTGCGCTGCAAAAGAACGCAAAACCCGACCCTATGCATTAAGGAGCCGGGCCATTAACCCTAGGCCCTAAACCCTAAAGCTTGAACCTGACTCTAATCATGCAGAAGGAAAAGAGCCCTCAAAAGAAACACTTACTCCCGAAAAGCGCGAAAGCCTAAAAGGTCCAAGGCGCAGGTGTCCAGTAGCCCCCGGCCTCGGCGTGGCGCCGGTCAGCTTCGGGAGTTTCGGGATGCCCTCTTAAGGGAATATAGGTTTCTTACTATGACAAGACAGATTATGCTTTACTATAGTGTCTTACTAAAATAGATCCTATCCTCATGTGCCAGTGCGCAAACTCCGTGTGCTTAGGCCTACGAGGGCTGGAAGCGCGGCAAGGCTGGCTTTGCGCGGCAGAACTTCCTGTCCCACCAGACGATGGACACCTCGGCTTGCGTTTCTCATGGGAACCTTAGGTGGGGCCCTCTTTTTCTGCGCAACTCTTGGCGACCACATAGGTGGTTGTCAAGATTATGGTCCCTTTTTGGGTCCCTATTATAATACGGCACCTGCTATTTCGGGTGCCCACTTTAATTTTGACAAGCACCCACATGCTTCTGAAGCTCCCCGATGCCCACGGCGGTTTAACAAGGCCTTGGGCTTTCGGCCTTGTGCTCCCGTCGTCCCAGCAAGGACTACATCCATCGCCTGCGTGAGGATCTTCTGTCAGCTTCAAAGGATGTGCTGCGGAATGTGCCTCAGGCCCTTAACTTGCCAACTCTTCTTTCGGAAAGGTGCGCCTACCAGAATGATTCGCTCAGCATGGGGAACTGCTGTCCGCTTTATGGGTCATCTAGGTACCGGCAATTTAGAGCAATGTGCCCCTTCTTGTACGATTCGATGGTCTTTGTGCGGTTGTCAGCTTCGCGTTGCTTGGTCGGGCTTAGCGCCGTATAACTGTAGCAGCGTATCCTTGCAGGCAGCAAGAGCAATGCTAGTAGTCGTGGCCGGAACGCCGAACTGCCGACTGTCACATTTATCGAAATCGTTGATCATCCGCGCGTCTCCGGGATCTGCGCAGGATCACGGGGACCCGGCCCTTCTGGCAGACTCCTGCAAGGCGGTTCTGACTGCGGGTCTCTACCCGAATGTGTCGCTTCTGCGTCGCCGGGGCAAGGGCCACACGATCCAGGGCTTGCCAGTCGTGGTCCATCCAGGCAGCTTTTAGGGCTTCTGAGTGCGTCTTTTATATGGGAGTGGGGTCCTCGTGATAAGGCTCCCATACTTAGGGGCACCATATCAGATTCCCCTATTTTCGGAAACCCCATATAAGTTATACTGTAATATACCCCAAATTGCCCATAACATCCTTTAAGGTTCCTTATAAAAGTGGTCCAGCCAGGATGCTTCGAGATGGGAGTTTAAGAATATAGGGAACCCGCAAAAAAGACCTCTAAGTCTAAGTAGTAGGATCTTTCATGTAAGGAACCTTGAAAAGGACCTCGTCTTTCGGATCATGTTTTGTTTTTTTGTTGCTTTTGGGACAACTGTCGAGTCCAGCACCGATGGTTGCGGTCATCTCAAAGACACAGAAAGCCCCGGATGGCCAACATCAGCATGCAACAGCTGAGGCAGTGTGAATTCCAAGGAAGAGTGGACTCAAGTGGTTTTCTACGAGATCCAAGAGACCACCGAGCGTTTCATGTATGACACAACTGTGGTGGGCCTGGCCCCGCTGCTTCTTTTCGCCCCCGTACTGAAAGAAGTACACCGAGGGCGCCGTGTGGTCTTCGAGCTCTCACCAAAATCCCACGTCGCAGTGGATGTGAAAGTTGCAGACGTGTTGCAAAGCCTGCGTGGTCTCGTTGCAACCTTCGTGGATCGATCCGTTGGAACCACGCCTACGCCGGTGATGCTCGACACGGCGCTGGAGCTGAGTCGCCTCTTTGCAGAGCAGGCAGGAGACCATAAACGGAGAGCTTTCGAGTGCTGTCGGTTTGAACGACTAACGCAAAAAAGACAGAGGGACAAGAAGGAAGATCAAGCTTTAGGGATCCGGATGATTATCATGCAGCAGGTGGAGACTGTCGAGGGCGATGACGGCGAGGAAGAGGATGGTGGCTCAGCCGGGGGGGATGCCAGTGTGGGAGAAGCTGTAAATGACGACGTGGAGGTGGAGGTGGAGGTCGAGGTCCCGGATGCGTGGGATTCCGACGAGGCGGCGCCTTGCAAAAGCCACAGGTTGCTGCTGGAGGATGTCTTCGCCATGAAGCGAAAACACCACCGAAAGCCCTAAACCCGAAACCCGGCACCTCAAGACCCTAAACCCGAACCCCAAAACCCCAAGACCCTAAACCCTAAGCCCCAAAACCCGGGCTTCGTCCTTGCCATGTAGGAGGGAGAAAACCCCAAAGCCCCCTAAATCCCATAACCCTTGGACCCCAAATCCCGAGCCGCCAGGTCCCGGAGCCTTTGGTGAAGTCCTCGAAGCGGTGACAGGAGCCTCCACAGCGTGGGAAGAAAAGTCGGCCCCGTGTACCTTTTAGGGTTCAGGTTTAGTGGTTCAGGCAGCGTTTAGGGTTTAGGGTTGTCGATCTTTTGGGGGGTACCCGGCAGTTCGAAGAGGCCTGGATGCAAAAAACAAAAACTTCTAGAAAAAGAGAGCGAGAGGTAGAAGTTGGGAGTTTCAGGCGGCGAGGGAGTTTCCTGAAATGCAACAATCAGGCTGAGACCGAAACTCACAAAAATCTCAACCTGGAATGCCGCAGAACAATCAACCTGAAGCTCACTCACAACAACGCTCTAAACCCAATATGTCTCTTGAACCCAGGCGCCTCGGCTCCCTCTTAAACCCAAACCCTAAACCCTAAAGGGGGCTTTCGGTATTGCATAATGGTGTACTCTTCTGATATCTGGGAAACAGATAGCCATGCTGACAAGCTGAGCCGAGTACATGCGTCGAGACTACTCCGCATGAATAACTGAGGAGCTGGGATTGAGTTAGGTTGATGTTAATCAGTTGGTTTATGTGGCTGTATTTGTGATGCATTGCTTCCCAGTACCTTCCTCAGCCACTTGTGGCATTCAACCAACCTAACCTAGGCGGAGAGAAAAGAGGGTTCAACAAAAAAGCGGAAAGCCCCAAGCCCTAAACCCTAAAAACTTTGGGCTTCGTCCTTGCCAAGTAGGAGGGGAAAGAACCCTAAGCCTTAAACTTAAAAAGCAACGTTGAGCTAGTTCTGAGATCAGGGTTGGCAGGCCTTAAAACGGAGTTCAGAAAGTACCTGGGTCTTGGACCCCCTTACCAGGGCTTTAGGTCTTTGTCTGAAATGTTTTTTTTAGATTGAGATAGGTTATAACTTACTATCTGGAAGAAAATTCGAACGGCTTAAACTAAAGCCATCTCTCGCATTGTGCGGGAGTGCGAGTCGAAAGCCATCTCTCAGGTCACTGACGAATCCAGGGGACCGACTCGCCCTCAGCGCCCTTCGCGCTCTTGGGCAGTTCTCGAAGTCAGGGTCCTTTTTTGGGTCTATAATAATAACAACAATAATAATAACAATACTTATAATAGTAATAAATAAGGACCCCAAAACGGACCCTAAATTAGCGAACTGCCCTTCTGCGCTGGGGGAGCTTCATTCACTTTTGGGCTTCGGTTTAGAGCCTAGAGGTTTGGGGTGCTTTGGGGTTTGGGGCTTAGGACATAGGGGTGAGGATGCTAGGCTTAGAGGGATTGGCGTTTGAGGCTGGGGATGCTCGGGTAAGGTGTGTTTAGGGTTTGGGGTTGAGGATGTTGGGGTTATTTGGAGCCAGCTGACAGAGGCGAAGTTGTCAGAGTTTCGGTTTCACTGGGTTTGTGGGGGTTTGGGTGCCCCCAGTGTCGGTTTACACTTCCGACTCTGCGATCAGGCTCAGAGTGTTTAAAGTCTACGGCGTAGGATTTGAGTTGGTAGGGTTTGGGTTTAGAGTCTACAGGCGGGGTTTAGAGTTGACGGCATTGGGTGAGAGTTAACGGTCTAGGCTAGGGTCCAGGATTTTTCCCTCGGGCAGCGGTAGCACTCGTCCTGGTCGTAGTCGCACTCAGAACCACCAGCACTACCGTTATCCTGACCGTGCTTGCATTCTGAAGAAATGAAATACCCGAATCTTTCCTTAAGCCCTCTTACCCAACCCTTCAAACCCTAAATCCTCAGCTCGACAATCCAATTAAACACATAAGCCCCAAACCCTACATGCCAACACCAGCCTTGATTCATTGACCGAGGCTGGTACGTGCGCTTGGGCAAGCGCTGTGTCCAGGAAGGCACGCGCCACGGAAGGATTTTTAAACGGGTTCGACCATCGCTTGAAAGGTTCATAAAGGTTCAAGGCTTGAGAGTTCCAGAAAGAAAAGGAAAAGGACATGAAGAGTTTAGGTTTCAATGGCCGCCCTCGCCAGAGCGCCCTGCAAACAGAGACAGCTTTCGAGCTTCTTTGTGCCCTGCAGTGGCTACTGCACCCAGAAGCTTCTCGAGGCAAAAAACGGGGCCAAAAAAAGTCAATGTGTGTCTTTGCGCTTCTCTGTGCATCGCCAAATTAGTCGAAGTGTCTCGAAATACCTCTTCTCACAATCACTCGATTTGCTTCCCTGCGCAAACACAGCTTGCTGAGGCTTCTGGAGCCTTGCTCAGGCAGAAGCAGAATGAGCCGTTTTGCATAGGGGCGTGTCGATATATTTCGAAGCAGCTCGATGTTCTTTTTGATGTTTTCTGCGTGAGAACTTCTGGGTGGCATTAGCCACTTCCGAGCTGAAACTAGTTTGAAAGCTATCTCTGTTTGGGGTGGTGCCTGGTGGGGGGTCCAAGGCACCCATGTTGCACAGTCTCATCCTTATTGCAAGGAACCCCCCCTCAAACGAGGCACCCTGGAAGGTGGTGCCGCGCCTGTAATCGTCTTGTTTTTTGGGGCCTTGCGGCTCAGCATTTTTCATGATTCTGCAGTTCGGGGCTGTGCCGATTTCAGGGTCTTTTGTTTTCTGGTGCAAGTATCGAATTGTGTGGTGTTGGCCAAGGTTCTTGCACTCTTGTACTCGGTGTGTGCAATGTTTCCGGCACCTGGTGCGCTTTGATTAGTGAGGGGGGGGGGGTGCCAAAGTGAATTCGGTGACTCATCGATACTGGCTTCCCAATTTTGGCTTGTTGCTGAATATCATCTTGACCATGTCGGCTTATTTGCACGTTGCTCTTGCAGCTGTCTTCGTTGCACCACGATGTGCTGTCATGTTGAACCAGCGCCACGTGCCACTACGAAGATGAAGAGCACCACTTATGCTATCTTGTCGACTTCCCTCTGCTTCGGGTTGTAGTTTTCTCATGACAACCTGTTTTGCCACCAACGCACCACCGACACCACCGACACCAGCAGCAGCAACGTTGATGATGACGATGACGATGACGATGATGCTGGTGATGGTGATTATGATTCAGATTCAATCCATGCTTTTTGCGGCAGTAAAGTTAGTATCATCGGAGTGAATTACCGAAATCGCCTGTCCACGTTTTGGACATGTTGAGTAGTCACTAGTCACTAGTCATCATGCATCCCGGAACGTGCCGGGAACCTCGGTTGGGCTGTTTGGCACGAGGCCTTGAATGCACGGCATGCTACCAACACTTCCAGTGTTATCTTTGTGAGGAGTTGGATCACTTGCGATTCTTGCCAGCATGCCTTTTTGCTGCTATCCTTGCTCTGAGACCTGCACCTCCTGCTATCCATTCCCGAAGTAGGTTGGGGATGCTGGTATAACTTGTTTAGCCCGTATTTGAGCTCTTCTTTTTTTTTTTCCTTTGCTGTTCCTGACCCTTTACTTTTCCTTTGTTCTAGTAGTACTTGGAGGTTCATGCTTAGTTATAGGTAGGGTTATAAGCAGGTAACTATATTTATAACCCATATTAAGGGACTTGTAACCCCACTTATAACTACCCATGAACCTCCAAGTAGTTGTGCATGTCGTCCAGGCTTGAACATGGAGGGCCACGATGACCAGTGCTTCAAGCATCCTGGGAGGAATGGATTCGTAGGGTCCAGAAGCTCAGCCGACTCTGAGTTCGCGGTTTAGGGTTTAGGGTGAAAGGGTTTAGGCGGTTTAGGGTATCCGTGGGAGAAGGTGGGGGGATTGCCGAGTTTCGGGGTTTTGGGCTTTGTCGGGAGGCTTATCCATTAATTAAGAAATATACCTGAAACCATAATAGGGATCCTACTATAGTTTTAGGCATATTCCTTATTGAAGGGGCATTTCAGTCACTGGGCTACGACGGTTTGTGCTTCGGGCGAGGATCCCTTGTGTCCAGGAGGGTGTCAGGGCTCTGGTATTTAGGCCCCTATATTATAGTACCCTCATAGATCCCTTATAGGTATCCTTATAGATCCGTTATAGTGATTGTTGTAGGTCGTCAAGATTACTGTCCCTTTTGGGGCACCCTAAATATTACATCATAGTAACCCTTATAGATCCCTTCTAGTCGCCCATATGCAGACCCACTAAAGGAACCCTACCCTACTTATTTAGGCCCCTATGAACAAAGACGCATGCATCGATCACTTGCTCAAGGAGACTTGTAAGAACAGCTCGCCGGTCGTGACTCCGAGTAGAGCTGTCCTTTCGTCGTGTGGAATTACGGCACCCGCTTCCCAAACACTCGCGCTATCTTTTGGACAACTCCAAAGCAAGGCCCTCATGTGGAAGAGCTGCAGGATGCTGAAAGTTCGCCCAACACCCTCCACCCTGAGCCCTAGTAAGTCTTACCCACAACTGTCCAGAAGCATTCCCAAACCCTACACCCCAAAAGCTCTAAATCCTAAACCCAAAAGCACCAAACCCTCCTTTTGAAGCCGTGCCTGCGTTGAGCGAGTGTGCGAGTCGAAGCCCCAAATAAAGCCGTAAACCCTAAAACCCAAGAGCCCAAAACCCGAAACCCCAACAGCCCCAAAACCCAAACCATAATGAAGACCCTGGAGACCTGAACCGGCCTTCTGCCATGGAGCCAACAGCTGCGTTGCCCGTTTTTGATGTGGATCTGGATGCGGACCTCAGGGAGTTTGGGGGGCCTCGACAATACGCAGGGGCCTGAAACATTGGAACTGGGTGTTGGTATACATAGTGTAGGGGAGGGAGAGACGGTGGGACAGGTGGGGGTTTAGATGATGGAAGTAGGTTTTCCCTGCAGCCCGACACACCACATGGTAATCCCATGTAATCCCCAAAGGCCTCAGCCCAAACCGACCGAATTTAAGAACTAAAGCAAAAGCGCCGAACAGCAGTTGTTGCATTTGGATGTGAAGGATCCAGTCGAGCGGTGGCGGGGTGTGGCCGAGGCTCACTTGCCGGGGTTTGGGGATTCTAGCAAAGGTTTCTCTTCACGTTCTTATACTTTCGTTTTTCTCCTTCGTGTTGTGTTGTTTCGGTCGTGTAGAAGGTTGTAGAGCCATGGCTATATGTGGGGCGTGCTGTTGTGGGGACCTTAGTGTCTGTTGGGGATGTGTTGTGCGTCTACGGCATAAACCGTGGGGTTTCCAGCAAGGAACTTCTACTTGAAGAAGCCTCATCCCCACTCCCTGAACCTACTGCCTTGGAGAACCAGGCATATGCCCCTGCGCTGCAGAAGCTTGCGGATGCTCGGCACGAACCGGCCAACAGTACGGTTACAACTGTTAGTGGTGGCAACGAGTGCAAAGAAAATAGAGACCAGCAGCAGCTGGAAGCTTGGGAAGATACAGATATTCAATATCATGAATATATATATATATATATATATATATAACAGATACTGATTTTGATTTTAGTGTTCGTGTTATTCGTATGATTGGGAATATTTTTTACTGTACTTGTCATAGCTGTACTAAAAATGGCAGCAGTAATAGTTCTAATTCTTATCATAGTTGTTAGAATAAATATAGTTTCTTCCCATGGATTGCCAGGGGGGCTGCAGCAGGGTTTTCACTCGACCAGTCAAGAGGCTGATTGCACGTCTCTTTCCTTTGCACACAGCCTAAACTCAAAGGGGAAAAGGAGGGACCCTTAATGGGGACCCCTACCCTTACCTAGGGGTCCTTATTAAAGGTCCCTCCTTTTACCCTTGGATAACCCTAAACCCTAAACCCCTACAGTGAACCCCATAAAGTTGGAAACCGGATGAATGCCAAATAGTGCTGGGATTCCCTTTTACATTACATACTCTTAAGGATCGAGGCTATTGGGTTTTCCAACTTTTGGGCTTCTATTGTGAACCCTAGACCTTAAAGCCTCCACCCCGTCGAACCGATCAAGCCTCGTCTGCAGAGAGTCCAAACCTTGAACCCTAAACCCTAATAAGACTTCGAACCACATGCCTCGCCTGGATTGTCCGAGCGCGAGCGCCGAAACCCCAATAAGGTCTGGCTTTGCCCGAGTGTGAGTGTCAAAATCCCTGATCACAAAGAGACCAAATCCCTAATCCCCAGTCCTTTAGTTCGGGGCTGTCGTTGCGATTGCCGCTGCGAGCGCGAGTCTCGCCAGTCATCTGAGCCGTTAACTTCAGAGCGAGGGTGCCCTAAACCCATAACCCTCATTGCGGGCTTTGTCCTTGCTAGGTAGGAGGGAAAAAACCTTTCCACCGACCCCAAACTCCTAAACACATGTCCCATTACATACACATTTGGCTTCTGAACTGGAGGTCTAATTTGAGGGGTCCTTTGCACTGCGCACCTCATCGTGTAGGACCTGCCTTAGCTTTCTGACAGATCCACTTAGGCTCTGTCGGGCCTTCCCCTGGTTCTTGTTTCTAACCCACCGTAAACTTGTTTTGTTATTAGTAGTATTAGTGTTATTACTATTGTTCTTATTACTGTCGTTATTAGTTTTATTCCTATCATTCTCATCCTTGTGATGATCAGTCTTTTTATTGTTGTTATTGAGGTCTTCATGACCCCTTGGTAGATGCGATAGGGTTCAGGCAGGGTATGTATTCCTAAATTGCAAAGCAGGGACCTCAACTTAGAGAACTACCCTGGGGTATGTATTCCTGAATCAAGAAGCGAACTTAGAGAATTACCCTAGGGTATATACTGCTTGACTTGAAAGCAGGGGCCCTAACCCTAAACCCTAAACCCTTAGGGTTTGGGGTTTACGTTCTATGCGTTGTCCAGGTGTAAAAAATAAAAGGGTTTACGTTCTACCCAAGTGTTCCCCAGGAGTGGCAGCAGTCGCTAGCAGAGGCGCCTCCCAGTCGCCGGAAAGGCCGCCGCAGGCGCAAGGCGCCCTGCGACTTCTGTTACCATACTATATTATGTTTGTATTGTATTATGTTGCAGGATATTCTCCTATCGTACATAATGTTGAAGTATATTATATGATTGGGGAGGTGTTTGGGGCCTTCGATTTTTTGTCTCCTTTTGTCAGTTGTTGGGGTTTAGGTTCTTTGTTCAGGATTCAGGGTACGGCCTGGGGAGGTGTTTCGGGCTTGCATATGGGAGTTTCCCAAAATCAGGGGTACCTTATCTTGGGGTCCTTATAATAAGGATCCTACTATTTAAGGTACTATCTCAGGGTCCCATATTTTCGGAAACTCCCATATGACAAGTTCGGACTACTGTGCCTTCTCAATCAGGTGTCTCAGCCGCATGCGTAGAAGCTAGGGGCGCTGTCACGAGCACAGTCCTAACCGGCAGAAGAGCGGCAAGCTACCATGCGTGCTTGCATGCAAGCGTGCAGCATCTGCAGCAAAAAGGGCTGGGAAGTTGGAGGATAGGACATCTCTGGCTTGCACGGGGATTTCGATTTTGGGGATAGCACATCATGGCATCATGAGGGTTTCAGGTTCGGCAGTCTTTGCGTTTGCGTAGTCTGACGATGCTGGGTGAATCTGTTGCTCTTCTTCTTCTCGTTCCTGCTCCAGTTCTTGTTCTTGTTCTTGTCGTTGGTGGTGGTGTTGTTGGTCGCAGCGGCGTCATAGGAGGCCAAAAGGGGCTTTAGCCTATAGTAGGGGTTTAGTAGGGATTAGGGTTCCCATAATCGGGTTCATATTGAGGAATCCCTACCCCAAGAATCTTAAAGCCTCAAACCCCGTTTTGGCCTCCCATCAAGCGGTGATGACCATGGTCAGGGTGCCGGCCCCTGCTGCTGATGATGATGTTCTTACCTTTGGTTAGTAGGGAATGGAGGAATGGGGTACAACTATAACTACTATTACTACCATTCTTCCATTCCCTACTAACAAAAGGTAAGCGATGCTAACTATGGAAACCATGGCGATGCCGTTGGTGATGGCCTGGGTGAGGACCGCACATCATCGGGATGAAACTTCGCACAAGCGAGCATAGCACACAGGTGGACATCTCTTTTTTGGGGCTCCTTGAAAGGGTGCCATGAGGGTTCCTTTTGGGGATCTATAGGGGTTTAGGGTCTTAGGGTTCTATCATCGGCTCTTGGGGCTTTCCAATCCAAACAGGAGGACCCCGAGCGGCGTATCGCGCGCTACGCCGCCTCGGAAGCGTTGAGGCTTCTGCAGCAGAGCCCTTCGACGTGAGAGTGCTTTGAATCCAGAGCCGGAGTCCCGGTAAGCCCCAAGTTCGCAACTACCAGGTTCCGCCCTTTTTCACAGCCTCTTTCCACTAGACATGAACAGGCCCTCCTGCAGGTCATACACCTAAAGAGCCACCACCCCCAGCCCTACGTGGCCAGGGCTCAAGTTGTCGGCTGCAAGGTTCTCATTCCCATCGGTGCCGCTATGGGCTGCGCCACCAGTACCACGGTTGAAGAGACCCGGCCTGGGTCAGTCCTCCGGGATGCGGACGGCGTTGCGTGTGTCGAAGTGGACTTCCCGGAGCGGAGTCGCAGCTTTCACTCGATGGAGGACCGGAGCAATCCCTTCAAGGCTTCCCAGGCAAGTGCACCAGTGAGGTGCACGCACACCTACTGGGTGAAGCAGCTGAACAGCGTCTTGAATGAGATTGAGCAGCATCCCAAACGGCTACGGGCCGTTGTCGCACTGAAACGTTCCACCTTCGATCATTCAGGAAGCCAGTGCCGAGTGCCTTAGGGCACA